TTCTTAATTTTTTTTTTTCACTTTTCTTGTTTGATAAATATTCAGTTAAATTATCTTTTTGATCTTTAATATCAGAAAAAGTAACCTTTTAAAATGGGACGTTTAAGTCAGCTTAACACGTGAAGCACGTGTTTTGAGCCTTGGAGGTGGGGCCATTACAGTTTCTTGTAAAATACATAACTTCTAAATCTAAAAAATTAAAATCTCAAATCGTTGAAGGGAAAATGAAAAAGAAAAATAAAAATTAAATAATATTTGTTAAGAAGGATGTAGAAGTTGAAGAAGCATCGATGGAAAGAAACCGGCTAGCTGCACCACCTAATGCCAAACGTTGACGTTTCATCCAACGTGTTAATGGACTTAGTAATTAACTTATAATATCAACGCCCGGTGATTAAAAATTAATAAATATTGGTAGATTGTGTTTTTCGTTATATAGTTTACACCCAATTGCCGACAGATTTAGGTCTCTAAAACTGTTTTTTTCCCGTTAATTTATACTAATAATTGTCCTTATGGATAAATTATATACTTCTAATTAATATGGGTTTGAGAATAAACGTAAGTAGTTGTAGTTATTTATAGTAACGTTTTGGATTCTTTTTTGTAGTTTTGTAATTTATGATGGCATAAAATTAATGGATATTTTTTTATTAATTAATATTAGTAACCATGGGATTTATTGAATCCAAAAGCCGTCTTGAATTAAGTTTTAATGTCATTTTGTACTCGTTGGAGTTCATAAACTAAATAATTGTTGAAGAATGAAATATTTTGGCATTTTTTTAATATGATTTCGTAGTTTTCTTTCATTCGGTTGATGAATGACTGTTCATATCTATTGAAATGAAAGTCATTCACAAAATAAAATTATGAGAATTATGCTAAAAGAAAACAATATCATATCATTATGAAAATATAGATGATCCATTGTTTGAATGGTTACTTCCCAATACATCATACGAAATTAAGAATATTTTGATCAGCTACAATTCAAATGAAAAACCGACCTTATATAATCACTAAAAGAATAAAAAGGGAAGATTATAGCATATTTTAGATATTTCTTTATTATTATTATTATTATTATTATTATTATTATTATACACGACGAGAGATTGGTTTTTCTTTTAACTTGGGGTTGACTGTATCATTATTTTGTTATTTGATTTCAATTAAATTATTTTGTACGGGAGTTGACTCCAATTTTTTTATATATTGAAAGTAATTAAAATAAAAACTTTTAAAATATTAAAAAATGATTTATAATTAATAATTCATATATAAAATTATACATTATTTTAGGATAATAATAATCATATAAACCAAACATTGCTCCATGTTTTGCCTCTCGCCTGCTTGCATCTTTTCATATGTTTGGGATTCAAAAGTTTCATAATTGATCATCAAGTGACCAGGCCCACCAGCACCAGCAAGTGCTTAATTTATTATCTTTTTAAAAAAAATCATATTTACTTATTTCTTTATTTTGGAAATATTGAGGAATCAGATCTAACCAAATTAATAATGTTTAGTGTGTGTATTTAAAATAACTTATTGTTTTCTAAATCCGAAATCAAAATTATTATTAGGCATGTCTAAAGGTAAATTACAATTAACGCGATAATTTGAAAATATACTCTTAGAAAACAAAAACGGTTATACATCATTGTATATAGTAATATTTAGGTAAAATTATAAATTTGGTTATTATCCTTCCAAAATGATGTCTAGTAAGTCTTTATACGGTTAAAAATCTCTCCATAGCTTTAAACTTTTCAGTGTCGTCTCTATTTAGTGTTTATATTTTGAAAAATAAATTATTAGGCATGTGAACTTTCAATTTATGTTTATAGGTCCTTACATGAACTCACTCATTTTATATACTAGTGTAGCACAAACCATGTGATCGAGTGGTTTGACGCAATCTAATAGTAGTATATATTTAGGGGTGAGAAAAGCTAAATCTCTTTCAGCTGGCTCCTTTCGACATTCTCAAGGTTCTGTTGGTCCAAAGGAAAGCTTGAACTGGGCCATCAATAAGTCAGCTCCTTCTACTGCACCTCAAGCACCTCCGGTTCAAGTGGTCCATTAGCCCGAGGGAATATGGTGAATTGAGAGAGAATGAATTTGAATCCTATAATGGTCATCTACCTTAAGAATTAATTTAGAGTTCGAATGCATCAACATTAAGTTGTCAAAGTTAAACACAAAACATAAAGTAAAGTAAAAAGATTAAATTTAAATGTTCAAACAGCTATAAGAAACTTTGTTTTAAAAGCTAACATTATAATTTTACCCTTTTTAATTTTTTTTTCTATTTGACTATATAGACATTATTACTGTAAACAAATCAGGCCTAAAGCGTTTTAAAAGCTTTAATCAGATGGCTTTGTTCTGTAAAAGGAAGGCATAGCGCAATGATAGATTTCCCAATAGAAACATAAAAAACACAGAGAAGTAGCACTTTCTTTCTTTTTTGAGTACAAATTAGCACTTGATATTATAAAATATATAAATGAACGAATAAAATAATGTTATTAAAACATATAATTATAAAATTGTAGATATTTTTTTGGCCTTATTGTGGATACTCCACTCAGCAATCATTTATGCACAGACCATAGGCCTAGAAAATGACAACCATTGGATTGACCAATCAACATTCTTTTCTCAATTAAATAATAATAATAATTAGTAACAGTTGGAGTGGGACCACTAATTATGAATTATGGAAGCTCTAATAAAATTTTTTTCCCAATTTCTTTGGATTTAAAGAACATGAAGGAGAAGCCAGCTAAGTCGGTCTTCCATAATTTTCAATTTGCAATAGTAATTAACCTCTGTGCTTCAATTATTACCAATGAATTAATAGCATTTATTACAATTGGTCCACTTATATCCTGTTATCCAATATAAGAAGCCATTCTCTCCTGGTAAACTACATTTAAAACTAAGTTGACAATTTGTTCGGATAATATAAGAATTGTGAACGAAAACACACGGAATTAGGGAGGCTAAGAAGATTAAACTATTTAAAATCTATTTTAACATTGGATATCTATTTTGCTCTATATCTTCTAACAATTAAATGGTAGATATTAAGTGGTATATGACAGTCAAATTGATTAGGTTTTGAAACTTCGATGACAAAGTTTAAAGTTTAAACGCTATTTTGGTTCATGTACTTTTGGTTTTAGTTTAGTTTGGTATTGTACTTTCAAAACATCCGTTGTGATTCTTATACTTTAAGTTTTTGTTCATTTTAATTTACGTACTTCCGAAACATTTGTTTTGATCTTTTAATTCACTTTTATCTTATTTATTTGATCAATGTTTTAGTATGACACATCACTCACTAAATTTATTTGCATCATAACCATACATTTGTATTAAAAAAAATTATTGGGTGTCTAATTTGTGTTAAAATTTTTCAAACGGGGACTAAAATGGTAACTTTTTAACAGTGCAAATAAAAAACATTCATTTTAATCAAAGTACATGAATTAAAATGAACAAAATTTGAAAGTATAAAGATCGAACTATAGACATTGTAAAAATATAGTGATCAAAATAAACCAAAGTCTGAAACATTATGACGCCCAGATGAGGGTACATGGATTAATCGGTATCTCATCTAAACGAGAGAGATTTTGAGATCACGAAAACATGGTTAAAAAAAGACTTAAAATAATATAATTGATAGTTACTGCTTATACTAACAAGATACACACGTTCGTTTACTAAATCATAAAAAATCCAAATTTAAACGTATTTATTTGATTTGGAGCCATAGGTGTTGAGAAAGAAAAGAATGCGTTAATCTGTAGGGGTAGTTTCCCCGCTCTTTTAAGATGCGAAGAAGTGTTTAGTAATTAGGGCTAAATTCAGATTTTGAAACTTGGGCATAAAGTTAGGTGACGAAAATAATTGAGGAGTTTCGATATTAGTAATTTGAAGGTAAAAAATAAAAGGAAGGGGTAGGAGGTGTAATGGCGACGCAAAGGCAAAAGCCAAAACTGGGAGACGACGCATCGCAAACCGAAGTGGTGACTAGTGAGACGTAGGGAAGCAGAGGCAAAGCCAAACCGACTCCAACGCCGACGCCGATGCCGACGTCTCCTCCGCCGTCGTAACCTCCAGTCGCGACGTTTCTGTTTCTCCGTCGCAGGTGGAAAGTGCATTGACGCATTTGCCCCTGCCCGGTGGCGAAAACAGAAAAAAAACTTGTACTTGGCCTCTCCTCATCCTTGGGAAGGGGAAGGTGTCCGTGCGGCTACTGTGGATCCACGTGGCCACGTGAGGGGTTTTGGTGAACAGGTGGCAGTTCGAGAGGGGGGCCCACGGGGGTGTCGGTTTCGGTTGCACCTAACGACAAAACCAGCCAGCTCACGTGATCTAATTTCAGCCTTTCGGACAAAACCAAGTTTCCACCTCTCCCCTTCTATTTGGGCCACATTTTGGGTCCATTAACTTCTCCCAGGCCCATTCTTCCTTTTCCTCCAGAGTTTCATGTGTTCCTAAGGCCCAGCAAGTCCATGCCTTCCACAGCTCTGCACATACCTTCAAAGTGACTAAACTTGTAAATTAGCATCTCAAAGAAAAATGGTGAATTAAAAGTTTTTTGGTTCCTATCATTTTAAATGTTTCAATATGATTTTTTTAATTTAGCTAAATTTCTCAATTGTCATTATCATTATTATATTCAATACATGGCACATGGGAAATAAGGTAAGGCTTTCCATTTGAAGGATTGTATTAGAGTTTAAGATTGCGTAGAAAATAAGAAAAAGTAAATAAGATGATTTTTTAGTACAACAAATTCATGACCTCTTAGATTAAAGATAGGTGTCAATTATGACTGAGCTAAGTTTATATTGACAATAAATAAGATGAATTAGAGACAATTGTAAGACTTAACTCTGTTATAAGGATTAAATAAAAAAGCTTATAAAATCATTAGGACCGGAGCGACAAATTTCATAATTTAATTGGTTCAAAACATTACCTATCATAAGTGAGGAATGTGGATTAAAACTTTTGTATTGATATTTTATTTTTATGAGAAAAGACAAAGAAACGCAGTAAACGACAGCCAAATTTAAGGCCACAGAACTCGGAGAAGTAAAAAATCCTAGCTGCCCTAGATTTATGTTCTGTCCATCACGTTTGGCATTTCTTCAAACCAGACACCATGATGAGTTTGAAAATTCTCTTCTTTTTATTTTGTAGTTAAATCTCGTGAGCTAAATAATTACATTTTTCTAGGACCTCTCTCTCATATGGCAAGACTTTAAGGGAGATATCTACCAAAGATCTCCTTTGCAATCATTGGACTCATCTTATTTTTCTTTCAATAAGACAGTATGACCCACTAAAAATGTTGAGACACATTTTAAAAGTTAATTAAAAAAAATCAAATAATTGCATAACTAATAACATTTCTAGATTGTGCTCAACAATGTGTATGCACAAAAAGTGGAAAATAAATTTGGGGGGTTTTTTTTTCTCTTCATAGAAATCTGTGGCTTGGGTTTCTTGTATTGAACTATAAACTTGAATTATTATCTCTAACAACTAATTTACAAAAAACTATGAAAGGTGGAGAAAAATAGTGCTGAAAATTCCAAAAGAAATTTTGGATTCAACTAAAACTAGACTGGGAAGCCACAAAAAGGAGAGTTGTAAAGAGTAAGAGGGAGGACTCCCAATACGCCACGTGGCGAGATCTGATTGCGTGGGAGGAGGAGGGCCCACGGCCAGCAGGGACAGCGCCGAACACGGTGGAGCCGCTTGAATTTGTAGTGTTCAGGACCGTTGAACTTGTGCTGCAATAATCCAATTTTTCTTTTTATTATATTAAAAAATTGAAGCAAATTTAAATTTGTGAGAAAAAATTTAATATTGGTAGCAGCGGCTCACCTTGTTGATGGGTACTCGCACGTGCCGCTGCCTGTAAAAATTTTACATCACATGAATGAAAACCGGAATAATTTTATTATAGGGCAAATTTTGTCCAAAACAATGTATCATCTACGCTAAACTTACGCTAAACTTTCTCCTGTGTCTAAATTATTCAACCTATTTTAAAGTTTAAACACATATTATATACATTACATTGAAAGTTGGTTAAATAAAATTGAAATCAACATCAATGGAGAGAATAAACTAGTAATTTATGGGTTAAAATACTAATTTTCTCGTTTTGGTTCATTTTACTCAATGTATTTAAAAAGGTAATCACTTTGGTCTATTAATTTTTTTTCTTAATCTCAATTTTTTCCTATCACAATTTCAACACGGCACCAAATTCAATATGTTTCTTAAAATGTAAACACTACTTTATATTAAAGAGTTTCCGTTATGTGTAAAGTTTGTGTTAAAATTTTGCAAAAATAGACTAAAATCATCACTTTTAAAAAGTAACGTAACAACAATAAGCATTTTCAAATACAAAAATTAATATGAACCAAATTTAAAATAAATGGACCAAAATAAACATTTTTAAAATAGAAGTACAAAAATAAAAGCACACATGTCAAACTTAGTATTTTAACCTAATTAATAATTGTCAAAGCGAGCATAGCTCAACGGTGATTGACATGTACCTCCACTCCAACCACGAACTCAACTTGTGAGTTCGATCCACCGCAACTAAAAAAACCTAATTAATAATTATAACCCACTTTAATTAAAGCAATGATTAAGCGAAATCTTAATCCTAAACTAAAAAGTCCTTTGTCCGTAACAGGGTAGCCTCTACCCCCTACAAATTAGGCGTACGGCTATTGTGTTGTCTAATAGTAATGGCAAATGATTCATTCGCTCAATTTCTTCTCAAAATTCAAAACCCTAAAAACTAAACCCAATTAGCAATTACAGACAGAAATAGAGAAAACGAGAGGAAGAAGGGGAAAAAAAAAAAAAGAAATGGAGAAAACTTACTGGGATTGGTGCTGGTGATCACAGCAGTCCCTCCAAAATTACAGCTATTCGGAAGCGGATTCTTCTGGTAATAGCTATTGAAGGCGTAAGAAGCATGGTCGCGAACCGAATTGGGGTTATAGCACCTTCCGCCGCCCTGAATCGGCCCGCAATCGGCGCCGCCCACGCCGCAGGCATAGTCCAGAGCCAGCTGCAGCGCCGCCTGGGAGGCGCCGAGGCTGGCAATGCACCAGCTGGAGCCGCCGGCGGTGGTTGCCGGGCCGAAGCTTGGGGTCGCCATGGCCGGAGACACGGTGTCGGGGGTGGAAGTAGGGTTTACGATGGGCATGGTGGGGATACTAATTGTAGGCACCGTCGTGATTGGGGTGGTGATGTCCTTTTGCCCTGCTTTTTGGGATTGCCTAATTGAAGAAGTACTTGACCCTGACAACAAAACAAACAAGATTTTTCGAGTTTTTTTTTTGGTGTAATGAGACAAATCTTTCTTTCCTTCTTTCTTTGGGGGTACGCAACGCATCATTGAACAATTTGTCAAAAGAGAAAGATTCCCACATGGAAAAGCATTCAAAATTCCAAAGATGGTATGGGGAAGGAAGAATAAAACAGAGGAACAAGAACTACTTTATTGAAAGCCCAAATTAAAACAAGCATATATCCCACAGAAAAGGAGAAGAACAACAAACAAACATCTGGGTTTGAATGGATTTGATAGAAAAGAAATGTTTTTGTTGATGTGGATTGATCACCTGGGGAGATGCAGTGAGTGAAGAGGAGTAGAATCAGAGTGGTGCAAGTGAAACTTGCATTATCCATTCGCACGGCAGGCCCTGTCTTGATCTGTTGTTGCTCCAAAATCTTTGCTCCTCGGATTTCAATGGGTGTCTCTGAGGTAGAGACAGAAGAAGGAGGGATGAATATGGTGGGAAGTGGGAGGAGGGGCTGTGAGAACATTTTGAAATGACAGAAGATTGATTGAATATGGAAAAAGGGGGAGGAAAATTGGGATTATTTTGGAATTTATGGTTGGTGTGAAGGGGTGGGGTGGCAACTGATCTATGCAATGATGCTGCTGATGTGGATGTCTTCTTGCCTTTCTTCTTCTCCTTTTTCTTTTTACTATCTATTATTTTGACTCATATGTAATAAACGGGAAAACCCACTTTGAATTTCGTGATTTAGGCCCTAATAAGTACTCTGATAACTGAACAACCATTATCTATCTATTCGTGCATAAAATCTCCAATGTTTTTTTTTAAGGTTACCAAAATGGTCACGTACCATTACGATGTTGTCTCTCACTTATATATTATAGATCTTTTCCTTATATAATCAAGGTGAGACTTTGATCACATTTCCAACAATAAACTAGTTACTTTCAACGAGTTAAAATTGTGGGTTCATTAAGTTTAATAATATGAGAGGTGGATATTAGACCTATCAACTTTTAGTTGAGCCTTAACCTAAGTTATTAATCTTAGTTGTACTAAAAAAAACAATTCATATTCATATCTAATCATAAAATGTAAAATATTATTTTTACTTCTCTTATATGTATTATTTGATGATTCATGATTACTATATGATTATTAAATCAACAAACTTCGATTCAAAGCACGAATCTATTAAATTTAATTTAAACCCATTTCGATCTCAAACATATTTAGAATTCAAGTCCTTCTAATTTCCTTTTCATCTGTAGAAATTCTTTGATTATCATTGTTCAAGGCATGATACCAAGCCCTATAAAAATCATTGTGTTTAATCATACTACTAAAACATACAAAATATTGATTAATTAATAGGCTGAATTTAAAAGCTAGAGTTAGTTATATAATGTAATCCAATCAATAACTTGTCAAAACATAGAGGGTTAAAAGGAAAAAAAAAAAAAAGGAAGAATAGTTTAAAAAGAAAAAGAAAAAGAAAAGTAAAAGTAAAGGCAATCCTCTTAGTGCATCCACATCTCTTTCAAGGCATAAACAAAACTTGCTTCTTGGGTTGATTTTTGGGCAAGGCTGTATGGTTGGTCTACCAACTCTTTCAAATATTTAATTTAATTTAGTAATTTTATTTTTCCTATGGACTATGGTTATAGAGATGCTGTCATTTTCACTTTATTAAATTGAAAAGTGATGAAATATATGGTCATAAGGTTTTTGTGCTAGTTACTCAAACTAAAAATTTGGTCATTCCTTGTCTTTATCAAATTTATCCAACTCCAAACTTTTCACTTAATCCTAAAATATTAAATTAGTGTCCACTTTATTATATAGTCTTCCCACTTCATTAAACTCAGAATCGTGACCTAGTGTTGTTTCTAAGTCTTCTTTTTTTATTCCTTAAATATATAAAGTCTTGATTAATTATAGAGTAGCCACCAAAAGAAAAAATAATAATAGTAATAAAAAAAAACCTTGCATATATTCAGCGGTGAGTTTGTTCCTATGCCTTCTCTACACACCATCTGTCACAATTTTTACTCTAAAAAATTAGCATTCAAATGACACGTGAGAGTTGGACAAAATTATATTAATCGAAACTGTAAATTTGAATTGATTTGAGGCATTATTTTGATTTAAAAGTAGAAAAATGACTAGAATAATATTCGATAGCTAATATTTTTTTTAGTGTAACCACAGATAATTTGTAACATTGGACTTTTGTTACTTCTTTCTTCTTACAATGGGTGAACTTTAATCAAATTATATCAACGATAATACAAAATTTTTAAATATAAAAACTAAATTGAATTAAGCTAAAGTTAAAATAAAAGTGGGATTCCAAAATATATATATTTGGAAGGCTGCACTGTTGACCTATAAAATTTAAGATTGCACTTGGTCCTATATATCTATAGGCTCATTCGGCTACACATTCTCTTTCTTTTTCATTTGTTTTTAATAAAAGATTTAAGATGGGGCCATCTTCATAGCATGATAAAGTGATTGAAGATGTAGGCTTTTTAAAAAAAAAAAAAAGATGAAAATTAATTACAAAAATATATGAATATTGAAATATATCAAGATTTTGAAAGGAGGCTATCCAAAGGCCTAGAATTATCATAAATATTTTAAATAAGCGTTAATATATTTAACTGTCTATTATTAAAATAAAACGCGGTGTGACAAAAAGAAAAAAAGAAAAAAAAAAGAAATAAATTTCCTGATGCCAAGGTCCAAAGGCCTGACTATTATAAAGCCCAAATTTGATAGTGTGGTGGACTATTTTGAAGATCCTATTTGGGCCGGAAGCCCAGATTTAAAGATGGAGAACTTGCACGTGACAAGATTTTTCCAACTTTTTATATATCAAAATTTAGCATGTCTATGCCCTTTTATTAAATGGTGAAATATCAATAACTTGATTTGTGTTTTAATAATTTCAATTTTCAATTAACATTCCAACCAAACACTTTAATTTTAAACTTATTAGATATTCCGATTTTCACGTTAATAAATGTAATAGAAATTCAAATTTGAATTACTAGTGTGTCTCTTTTTAAGGTATAATATTGATGAGCGAATTGAAACCTTCAATATATTAAGGCTACGTACGTGTTTGTAGTTGAAAGATTTGTCAATTTTTCTCCGTTTGTCTTTCGGTTTCTTGTAGAATATTGGGAGTGCTTGTTTATATATGTCAAGGCATAATTCAAAATAGGGTAAATATATTTCTTTGATTAATGTGGTTAAAGAAAACTTTTATGTGGTGTGCTTTTTTGTGAATCATTGTCAAAGAAGTATAGTGATTATGCTGATTTTTTATTATTTCAATTATTGAAGAGGAGACATGTCTTGATGCCTTCGTGAGAAAGATGAGTAGCCAGTCGTGAAATTTATTTTGAATGTTTGAATTTATTTTTATCAAAACTTTCTACTGAATATTATAAGTAATGAAGCATCCAATTTTGGAAAAAGTAAAAATAATATGATGAGAATTTCAAACCTCTAATTTTAAAACGAGGAGTTATATGTTTTTACCGTCAAATTTTTCTATCATTGAGTTATATGTTCGTGTGTTGGCGGATCTCTCCTATTAACACGCTTTATCATTATTATTTTTTAGCTTATAGAATATTTGAATTGAAATAATTTGAAATATTAAGATCAATAAAAAAAAATCTTAAAATAATAGACAAGAAAAAGAAGAAGAAGAAGAAGTGTATTGGCATTAGGGATCAATCCTTATATATGTAGTAACATTACTTTCTTATGAAAATTTGATTTCAGAAAAGATTCAATTAAATCTCTAATAAAAATAGGCTAAATTACCAAAAAAAAAAAAAAAAAAAGCTTTGTCATCTATTTCAAAAATACATCTATCAATTCAAGAAGTTTCAATACTACCCTTAACCTTTTATAAATGTTTCAAAATTAAAGTACCATTTGAGGAAACATCGGTTGACGTGGTAAAATATGGAATAACGTGAAGCTCTCCAATTTAGTCTTCTCCCTCTATTGTAAAGAGAGCTTGCATCTCTGCTATATAACCAATTTTGCACTAATCCACCTATTAAAAACAACAACTTATGATTTAATCGATATTGTCACATTATTCAGATTCTGTCATATCAACTTTAACCCATATTGTTCAAAGAGTATTATTGAAACATTTACAAAAAGTAAATGGTAGTATTGAAACTTTTGAAAATAATTCAGGTATTTTGGAACGTGACAATAAGATTTTTTTTTAATTTATAATTTAGCCATAAAAAAAAAACAATCAATCTCAATATATTATATAAGAAACGACTAGAGAGAGAATAAAAAATAGGATCGAAAAAGGGTTTTTAGGGAGGGATTAGGCTAACTGCTACTTGCAAATATTGAAAATTTTGGAATGAAAGAAAATTAGTAATTTCAATTTCTTAAATCACGTCCCTTGATTTGGTGGGAATGAGCCATCATAAAATGGGCCAACCCATCATCTCCCCCAAAATAAAATACCACTATTTGCAAAAAACTCCCTACATTGTTCCCATAATTATTCTCTAACCCGTCTCGTATGAATCGTGAAACTAGTAAAAAAATCGTGAGAGATTAACGTTGACAATATCCATGATGTAGTTTAAATTAATGTTAGAGTTACCGTAATCTCTACTATCTATTACTTTTACGTTTTTAATAGTTTATTGAATCGAGTGCCTAAACTTCTTTGAAATCAATTCATTACGAAATTCTTAAACGATACATTCAACACATCACAAAATCATTAAATCGACAGATGTAACAATAAAAATCTATTAGATACAAAATTAAAAGTTTATAGACCTATTAAAACTACCATAATCCGAGAGACATAGCATCCGCAACCTAGATAGCCGGATAGAGGTTTTTCCAAAAGTTGATATTGACAACCTCCTAATTTCATTATCACATCCAAGCAACTCATTATTTCCACCACACTACATTTGTAAATTTCACAACCAATGTTGTGGAATTAAAAAGATCCACAACCAGCATTGAATATATATTGAACTATATTAAATATGATTCAAGTTTGAAAAGGAAAAAAAAAATAGTTAAAAGCACCGATTTTTATATGTTTCTTTTATTTATTTATTTTTTTGGGGTACAACAAGAGAAATGTTGACCTTTGAGGCCGTTAATGGAATATCTTATTAGAGATAAATTAAGTACAAACCACTCGACTGATTCAATAAAGTGGTGTTTTGATGATATAATTTGTTTCATTATGATAATTAATTTTGTTTAATTAATTAATTAATAATAATAGGAATG